TAACACTGGCCCTGTGGGCACCTCTGCGTGTCTATACTTACCTGCTCTGTGCAGTGATTTTACGCAGAGCAGCGCCGATCCTCTGCTTTTTGGGTCCCCTTCAGTGCTCCTGGCTCCTCCTCCTCAAACAGTGCCCCCAGGGAAAGCCGCTGGCCGTGTGGGCACCTCTGCATGCTCTTCCTCGAGCTGCTGCTCTATGCATCCATAAGGCTGGCCATAACATTATTAAAATTTTTCTTGAGATTTTTGGTTTAGATTTACAAAAAACCATATAATAGGAGGTCAAACCTAAACAACACTTTCAATTGTTTCCAATTAGACAGGGCCTTGAACTATATAGTTGAAGGTAGATCTAAAGTAAATTTGGGCAGACATTGGACAGAAAATTGTACAGTGTATGGCCAGCCTAAGACACATAGAGCCACAGTTCGGCTGTACCCTCTCCCTGTTCTCATTGGTTCACTGCCTGTGATTGACAGCAGCGGGAGCCAGTGAGCTCCCGTTGCTGTCCAACCAATGAGGGGAACAAGTCCCCAGACAGCAGAGGCTGTTGAGAACATCGCTGGATTGAATGGGGCTCGGGTAAAGATGGGGGGAGTGCTGAAGAACACGGGTTTCTTACCTTCATGTATAGAATACATGAAGGTAAACAAACCTTGAGCCTTTAGGACCACTTTAAATATACCATGAACCTTTTTTGCTGCATACATTTGCACACACACATACTGCACAAAACATGCTTTTTAACTTTGCAGCCAGTGAGAATTTTACAGACACATAAACCTCAACACAATGTCAATTTGTAGCCCTAACACTAAGACTATTTTATGTTCAAAATAGCAAATTTCAATATATTTTCAAAGATAGTGCCTTTGTTTTTTATGTGATAGTGTGTGAAAAAAAAACTTTGTAAATAAAATCTAATACATACACCATTGTTTCTATACCATATATTGCCCCAATAAATTGGAAAACACAAGCAAATTTGGTATTGTTTAATTCCAGACAAATAAAAATTTTTTCAGAATAAAACACTGTGCTTTATCTTTACTTTTGTATGAAGTTGAAATCAACATAAAACTGATTTTTATTATCGTTTCAGATTTTTTCTCTTATTTCTAAAAAATAACATATTATTTAACTGCTTCCTTCCCCGCTGCCCTATAGCAGAGCTACTGCTACAGGGTGGCAGGGCTACGTTAAATTACGTATATATACACGTGATTTTGCATTTCTGGGTAGGGGGCTTGCGTTGCCCTACACGTGCCGCCATTGGCGGCTACAGATGTCGATCACCTGGTCTTGGGCCGGAGATTCCCCACCGGCACCCGGCAATTGCGTTGGAACAATGACAAGGGAGAAACCTGTTTCTAAACAACACAAGTCTCTCTCAGCCAGCAGTAACATGCTGCTGTGTACTTCTCTGCACAGCAGAGAATTACACAGTAGCATGTTTCTCTAGTAAAACACACACAGAACATACAGTAAAATGCACACAGCACACAGTTAACCCTTTGATCACCCCAGATGTTAACCGCTCCCCACGCAGTGTCATTACTACAGTGTCAGTGCTTTTTAGTAGCACTGATCACTGTATTAGTGTCATTGGGATGTCAGTGACAATTAGTCAGTTCCCCCCCCCCCCCCCCCCCAGTGTCAGAATACCCACCGCAGTCCCGCTGTAAGTCGCTGATCGCCGCCATAACTAGTATACAAAAAAATTTAGTATATATACCGCCATTTATAGACGCTATAACTTTCACGTAAAACAATTAGTTTACATGTATTGGGATTTTTTTGTAGCAAAGGCATGTAGCAGAATACTGCTTTATGACGAAATTTGATTTTAAAATTTTTTTATTGGATAAGTTTTATAGCAAAAAGTCAAAAATATTAATTTTTTTTTCAAAATTGTTGGGTTTTTTTTGTTTATAGCACAAAAAATAAAAACCGCACAGGCGATCAAATACCACCATAAGAAATCTCTATTTGTAGGAAAAAAAGGACATAAGTTTCATTTGGGTGCAACATTGCATGACCGCGCAATTGTCAGTTAAAGTAATGCAGCGCCGTATCACAAAAAATTACTTGGTCAGGTAGGGGGATAAATCCTCTGGAGGGCAAGTGGTTATAGCATGGTCTCAAAATAAAGTACTGTTTGTCTTAAAAAACAAGATTGGCTAGGCTGACAGCAAAACAAAAGAGTTGATTTACTAAAGCCAAATAGACTATACACTCTGCAAAATGCACTTGCACTCTGCAAGAGCAAATGCTCCAGAGTTTTTTTTAAATAAGCAGAAGCTCTGCTTACATCATCCAATCATGTGCAAAAAAAAATGCTGTTTTTTTTTTTATTTTCCGTGCATGTGATTGGGCATTCTTTGCAAAGTGAAGCTTTAACTCATTTACTTCTTAATTAATTCTTAATACTTAATTTACCTCTGGAGCAACTACACTTTGCAAAGTGCACAGTCTATTTGCCTTTAGTAAATCAACCCCACAGCAGCAATTGTAAGACAATCAGTCACATGTCCAAAACCTGAAAAAATGCCTGGGACTCACGGGGGTTTATATAGGTTAAAGACACTGGGACTTAAATGGTTAGTGGAAAATACCTTTAAGGCTCTAATAAGCAGTGTCTGTCAAATTATAATTTGCATTCAAAAAAAGATTAAAAAAAATAATAAAAGTGTGTGTTTTTATGTCAGCTATTTTGAACATTCTTTTAAAACAGTCCACAATTTAAATCCCGATATTATAACCTGTCATTGACAAAAAAAAAAAAATCCCATTATAATGGCTTATCATTCATACTACTCCTGTCTACATGAGCAGGCATCAATAATGTATGTGTGAACAGACTGGAGCTGTAAGAAAGTTTTGGCTGTACATTGCTGCAGATCATGTAAATGCATGCATGTACAACACAACCTGTGCCTAGCATGGGTGTGGCAGATTAAAATACTCCTAAAAAAAATCTAATTATCTGCCCCCTCACTTCCCAGCCTTAAAAAAAGTTGTTTTTATAATAAATGCACATTTTGAGTGGGGGCATCACTAAGTTGTGAAATCTCTTATTTCAATCTGTGTTTATATTACCCATTTAACAGAGAACAAAAAACTGGTGTATGTATTTGCATAGCTATATTATTGTTGTATAAAGAGGGAGTCATGGTAAGAATATGCTTGGGAATTATAGAAAGAATGTTATTGTTAACAAACATAGTAATTATGTATACAATGTTACACCAAATTACAGGTAGTGCATTATGTACATTATAACAAGCATTCTTACTAGTCATACATTTACAGTATATGGAGATTTTTTTTATATATATATATATATATATATATATATAAATACATTTTTTAATGTATATATGAAAGTATCACTAACAATTAACCTGTACATGAACCTTTCCATTTCTAGTACATAAGCTAGAATAGTAATTACAGAGCATACACTGTTGGATACCTTCCCATGTGTTTTTCAGTTCCCCTAGGACTCCTAGGGATTACAGGGAACGTTTTACAGAAGTTTCCCTGAAAAACTCTCAGAGATTGCACCTCATGCATCTGTAATTGTGCACGCCACAGCGCCATGCGGTTCAGTGTGGTGAACTTTTTGAAAAGAGTTAGGGGCTTCTTTTTCACATTTCTCACATATAGGCATCCCATTGGAATGAATAGGCTACTATGTGCCAGAACCAGGGCCAGATTTAGATCTTGGGGGCCTGGGGCATTTCAGGTTCAGGAAGCCCCTGATACACAGAGTTGGTTTAATTCTCAATAACAGTCACACATTTTCATTATGCATGACATGACATGACATTATGCATGACATGATCCCTCTTGTATTGAACTGTATTGTTGCTGTATTGTCTCCTTTTATATTGTAAAGTGCTGAGCAAACTGTTGGCGCTATATAAATCCTGTATAATAATAATAATCATTCTGAGGTCATGTGTGCAACACACGCAGTTATACGCTACCTTCCTCAAGAGTTTAAGCACTCTATGTGTGGTCCACTGCCAAAATTAGTTTTTTTTAAAAGATACAATATACCAGTCCAGAGTAAAAACTTTACTTCCCAAGATACATTTAATAAAAGGAAAGTAATGTATGTATTTTTTTAATATTTTATATTGTTTTATATTATTTTTGTATAAAATCATGCCTCTTCTGTCAAGGGGGTCCAGGGCAGTTGCCCTTTTTGGCCCCTCAAAAATCTGTCCGGAACAATAGTGTGAATCAAGCCTTAGGTGGCCATATCTCCTAGATTGTACGCTCGAAAGAGCAGGGCCCTCAAACCCCTCGCGTATTGTTTTGTTACTGTGTTGTCTCATGTTCTGTCCCCCACTATATTGTACAGCACTGAGCAAACCTTCTACATAAATACTGTATAATAATAATAATATTGCTTTTTTATTCCTGCTGGCCAATTAAGAGTTAGCTTTAGGAACATGCATATGAGCAGGAATGCTGAGGTGTTTCTTGAATGGAACTTCCTTGCAGAAGTCCAATATATGCAGAGGAATCTACAGGAGGTAGAAAATAAGAAAAAAAACCTGCTATTCCTGCCATTCTTACTCTCTGCAGCACTTCCCGGCTTCAGCTTGCAACACTAACTACAGGCAGTAAATCCCGCTAACACTTAGGGGTTGATTTACTAAAACAACGTCTGCTTGTTCAATTAAAAGAGAAGTAGGGGTTTCGCTTGTTTTTGCCCAGTAAAATTTGCCTAGGTGGATGCAGCATCGGTTCGATGCTGCATCTGTCCCCTGCTGGCTCTAGTGTGAGAACACAGCAATCACATGACCTCTGATCACTGAGTTCTCACAGCTGCTCTCAGCAGAGAGCGGTGGCTGTCAGTCATCGCTCTCTGCTCTGACCCCCCCACGTTCACTGGAGCGCTGGGCTGTGCAGGCAGAGGGAGCGGCTGGCTCAGCCTCTCAGCGGATCACTGTGAGGCTGAACCAAATGCCACTCCAGACTCTGGGGTGGATCAAGACTTTACAGTCAGGATCAGGGGCGGACTGACCATTTGGAAACTCGGGCACTGCCCGAGGGCCCGGGGTCAGTAGGGGGCCCCATGAGATGCCCCTGGTACCTATTTCATAGGCTTTTTTGAGTTTGGGCAAGGACACAGGGGCCCCATGATCCCCTATTGCCCGGGGGCCCCATGAGTTGTCAGTCCACCCCTGGTCGGAATCTTTTCCCAGCCTGGACTGGCTGAGTGATGTCAGCTGACAGCAGGCTTCGGCCCGCTGTCAGCTGAAAACGGGTCACAGGAGTGCAGAACGAAATTCACTCTTGTGATCCACAGGAGAAGTATGGCCAAAAGAGCTTTTGCTATACTTTTCCTCTAAGCTTTCACAATAAAAACCCTCCAGATTTAGTAAATCAACCCCACGGTGTCCCTGCAGTCCCATTCTCAACCTGGTGACCTCACTGAATAACACACCTCCTACCATGTCCTAATTTCAGGGCCAGCATGGATTAAGGCAAAAAAGGCAATAAAAGGATTGCCTGATGACATCTGTTATGATGAAACATGTCGGTCGGAGCCAGAGGAGGTGAGGGTATAATGCAAGCAGAGACCCAGAAGTGGGCTTTTGCCAGCAATGAGCGGAGGATCAGTTGCTCTTACACTGATATTATGAAGTATTGCCTCTGTGACTTTTTTTTATAATGTGTTTTTAATCACTGTTAATTGAGTGATTGATTCTACTACACTTTGAGAGTTTTTTATATCCATTCCTAATTCTGTGAATGCTTTTAGAGCGAGCTGTGTGGGAGAGAATTTGGAGATCCAGGGTTACCCCGGTGTTGACCTTTACAAGAGTACATTTGACCATACCTTCATTGGTGGTCATATACACCACATTTGTACACACCATGGTGTTTGGTGAAGTGCTTTTTATCCTCTCTCTGATTGGTGGAAGAACTACTTTGAAGGCTCCAATACTCTCAGCCCATGATTGTTATTTTATGTCACTTTCTGTATGGGACGTTCTTGATGGACACTTTATTATTTCATATATGTCACTATTAAATGTTTTTTTATATATATATATATATATATATATATTTATTTATTTTTTTTATTTTTTTTAATTCATAGACACAAACATTTGATTAGAATTTTTTCTCACTGTCATAGATTGATTTATATGGTCACTTTTACTGTGTTCTATATGTATTTGGTCACCCGCTCCTGCTCTGAGCACCATGCTGAGGGGGGAGCTTCCCTTGCCTCTGCATCTCTCAGCTGTGTCAAACTGACAGTTCAGTCCTGCAGTTTGCACTGGGAGATGGTGGCTCTCCCTCTGTAACCAGTGGCATGCCAATCTGATGTCAGTGTCACAGCTGCCTGTTCTATAAACAAAACCCAGTGCTCAGTTGTCATGGAGCTCTGATGATTACACTTCCAAATCTGTAGGACTGAGCTATCTTGCTCTGCATTCTTTTAGGAATGGAAACTACCAGATACAGCTTGGTTCCTCATTAAGAAAGGTGTGGTGGGGTATGACAAGTGGCCTCTTACCAGCTTCTGGGGTGTTGACTTCCTGTTCTCCAGCCAAGGCTTAGCTGCAGTGACATCCTCCCCATAGTCAAGGTGGAACACCCACACACCAGGAGATGTCCGCTACTCAGCCTGTTGCTGTGCCCCTGACACTTCAGCAAACTGACCTAACAGCAGCTTAATGGGGCTTATTTACTAAGGCTGGTTCACTCAGAATCTGGTGCAGCTGTGCATGGTAGCCAATCAGCTTCTAACCTCAGCTTGTTCAATTTACCACTTGCACTCCTGAGGAAGGGGTTAAAATGAGGGGCAATCAAAGGGTTAACTGTGTGCTGGGAGTGTTTTCTTAGGGGGCAGTGTTTTTTTGCTTCACTGTAATCACACTGCTTTGGATGGCTGTGCTGTGCACAGCCATCCAAAGCAGTGTGCCCGAGCTGACAGGGAGGAGAACTGTTAATAAGCAAAACAGTTCTCCTCCCTATCGGAGATCTTCGGAAATCACTGGGTGCCGGAAATAAATCACTGGCTGAGACCTCCCTCCTCCCTGTGCCTGAACTGACAGGGAAGAGAACTGTTAGTAAACAAAACAGTTTTCCTTCCAGTCAGAGATCCTCGGAAATCACCGGGCGCCGGTGAGTAATCACCGGCTGAGACCTGGTGATTGACAGCTGTGGCCACGAATGGCACGAGATTCTAAGAGAAACAGCTTTAGTAAACAAACCCCAATGTGTGTCCTCCACCATGTCCTCTCTGCGACTGCTCCTAGCCCAGGAAAACATGCAGTGCATTGGGGTGCTATTCACAATGACTAGCAGTGCACATAGAGCCATACATTGCAATAATTGCTGTAATGTACATGTTTTAAAGTGGGGTCAGCAATCTGTAGATCATGATCTACCAGTAGATTCCAGTAGATCAGGTAGATCTTGGTCTGGGCTTGCTGTCCCGCCATCCCAGATGATTAAACAGAATGCAATGCAGAGGGACTACTTGTAATGTTGGAGCAAGAGCAGCATAAGTCAATGCCTCCTCTGTAGTGCTGGTTTCTGTCCCATGAGGAGGGATACAAATTGCATTCCACCTCTTATTATTATTATTATAATTATAATACAGTATTTATATAGCGCTAAAAGGTTTGCTCAGCGCTGTACATTATAGTGGGGGACAGAACATGAGACAATACAGTAACAAAACAAAACACAAGGGGTTCGAGGGCCCTGCTCTTTTGAGCTTACAATCTTACCTTGGCTAGCGGTCTCCAGACTGGTGCCAGCAGCAGGAAAGAAGAGATCTTCAGCTCGGTGTGAAGCAATACACTGGGCATAATAGTACAGGGCTGCTTTCACACTGATGTGCTGTGATTTACCCACACCATGGGTGCAGTGCATTGTACCATCAGTTTTCCTTCTATTATATCCTGCTGGATTGGTGCAATTTCGGAAAGTACACCAAAACTCATGAACATGAGACATAGGCTCTTGTTCATTCATAAACTGAAGCATAGTGAACATAATATACCACAGTTATCTATGGACACAGGAGTGATTGGTACTGATCATTCACTTTGTCCATTCAAAAAAGGAAGGGGCTGGTAAATGAATTATTTACTGGCCCCTTCCTCTACTTTTATCCTGACACCACCGTATCCATTATACCTGCAGATGTCAGCAGTGCTGTGGGAATGTGTTGGGGGGGGAATGGAACAGTGACAGGGGGGCACAAAGGGGGAATCAGAACAGCAGGGAAGGGGATCGATGTGGGGAGGGGGGGAGAAGCAATTACAGAAGGATCCCCTATGTCTTTGCCTCTCCTGGCAGTAGCTGAAAGCAGGCGGCATGGAGAGAAACCAGCTTTCAGCTGCTGTAGAGAGCCGCACAGGGAATCCTTCTATAATTGCCCCTCCTGCCCACTGCACCAATTGCCCCTCCTGTCCAGGTCCCTCCTGTGTCTGGGCCCCCTGAAAGAGGACAGTGGTACCCCATCAGTACGACAATTAGAGGTTTAAATCAGGTGTGAGGAGGCGACACTGGGTGACACTCTACCCATTGATTGTTGATTTCTCCCATGTTGTTCAGGTAGACCGCCACCTCTTTAAGGTTGCCTACCCCACTTTAAAGTAACTTACCACAACTCATAAGAATGAATGGGCCTGATATAGCATTTTCAAACTGTGTCAGTTATTTGTTCTAATAGTGTCCTGTAAGGAAGGCAAAAAGATTAGTTTTTATTTCAGATGACCACAAGGGCTCTGCACTCTGGGATGTATAAAGCATTGTTTCTAAATAGTATATTAATGAGGACTACACTTATCTCTGCTCCCCATAGCAGTGGGAAGTTACACATACAGTAGTGCACATAATTACACTTTCTTCTCACCCATCTAGAGATTTCTACAGCCAGGGGTTCATCTTTAAATAAGTAAACAACTATTTTTTTTCTGCATATCAGCGATAAAATGTTAATAGGTTCTGTGTATGAGAGCAATAACACAGCACTGAACTTCATTATTACAGTATTTCAAGTGCAGAGTATTTCTTTTTATTTGATGCTCCATATATTTATGCAGCGATACATTATTAGGAGGTTTTTTTTTTTTTACTTTGCATTGAATTGTACATTGATCTCAGTCATAGTCAGTTAACAGTCTAGAGATACTTCCATGTGTATTTTTTTTGTCAATGCAATATAACAAAAGATAGAATGGAAAAGGTATAGCATAACATATGTTGCCCTGCAGACATAAAGGGACAATATATCTGGTAGCTTTATACTGGCAGTGTCAGGTTCTTATCCTAACATAATGTAATACAATGACATGCTAGTTTCATTTGTATCACTTTTACCATCTTAATGTTGGAGATCCTTGGAAATCCCCTGCAGCATGGAAAGCTAACAAAGCCCCTGTACCATCATGTGTATACTTCTGTGTCTATCAAATTGTAACTGATGACCATGCCTTTATTATTACGAAAAGACTTATAAAAAAAACGGAGCATGAAAAAAAACAGACTTTCCGAGGTCACTCAGTCAATGTTGCTAGTGTTAGGGCAAATCAGGAGACATATCAAGCTGATTAATGATGGTAAAAGGCGCCAAAGCTGTAAATAGTATTTACAAAGGCAGGATGCAGAAACCAAATACAGACCGACCAAAAAAAAAAAAATAAAAAAGAAGTCCATAGACACTAGCTAAAGCCAGGGTCAATAACGGGGAAGAACAAAATGATCAGGAACGAGAAGACCATCTAGCACTGATCACATGCACTGGCATCCTTAAATAGTATGTATTATTGTTGTCACCATTTGTACATGGCAAACTGCACACCAACATTTACACACATACACAGTGGGCGCCATTACTTGCCTGATCATCTCCTTGGTTTTGCTTGCTTTTTCACCGTCAGCCCCCATGGTCATATCTTGTCTAATAGGTGGTTTGTATATTTTACACCTTTTAGCACCCTCCTGTATTATTACAGTCTAGTTTGCTACACATTCTTCTTGTGTTTACACATTTAGATTTCTGTCTTGGCCACCTCCTTCTCTCCTTGGTGGGGTTGTTGGGTCTCTGACACCCCTGTGCCCTCCCTGGGACAATTTATCAGGCGCTCTGCCATATAGATCAGATTGTGTGAGCATGCATTTGGATATTGTGATTTTCTTTATTATTGTTGTAATTTTGCACCATGACTAATATGTTGTTCATCTTACATAGTTGAAGGGAAATGAAGACCCACTGCACTGCAAAAAAGGACTAACTTAAAGAAGAAAAATGAAGTAGCTGCTAACACCTGACTATAAACAAACAGTGAAGGACACTTATTCTCTCTCATCTTACATAGTTAATGGCCTCATCATTTATCTGGGTCCTAAAGAAGCCAAACATTGGTGGAAAATTGTTGACCTTCATGCACTGGAAGAACACAATGTATCTATATTGGACTCTTGCCATTCTTTTCTTCATATGTGGTCGAAGCAGCTTCCAGAGCTATTCGGTTTTCTTTAGGAGAGCATTTGTCTCCACTGTGTATGGGGTGCTATATGCTGTTTTAATAACTTTTATATAGTATTATACTATATAATCGATGATTTATGGATTTTGACTGAACTCTTATGGTGTGCTTATATAGCCCTATGTTTGAGGTGGGCTGGATATTATTTTCCAGCCTTTACATGTTGTTAGAATTAGTCTTAGTGAATCTTACTCATGCTTAACAAGTTCTTAGGTTTTGCCAAACAGAACCTGGTGAAAAGGCAATGGACATACTGTATCTGTCTACACAAGACAAAACTACACTCATGGTGGGGTGCTTATGCAGACCACAGATATAATTAAAAATTTAGTAAGTGTGACATCAAACCTGAACGCCAGGCTAAATACATGAATACCACCAGAATAGAAGTTAACCTCCCTAGCGGTCTGATTATGTCCATATTTCTGTGCTCAAAGCGGTAAATTTTTTTGCATGGAAATATGTATTTTTTTTATTGTAGGCCTGTAATTTACAGGAATAACTCTCTGAAATCTGTCCGAACAAGAGTCTAGTAAACATCCCGGGTAGGATAAAATTTGAAACACGAAGTCATAAATTACAATTTAATGAATAATCCTAAAAAATAATAATAATAAATTTAATAATATAATCAAACCAAAAACACTGAAATTTTAAATATAGCGCCAAGTTCGCACATCACTGAGCTTAGTCGCAGAATCGTTTTCAGTGTCTGATGACGAATTTCCCCACGAATCATTATCACTCAATTCTGCAAGTGGTTCTGATTTACTATCGCTGTTCTCTAGCTGGTATAAAACGCTTTTGACCTAAAGGGACGCTTTTTGGACGCCATGGACGTTTCTCAATTTCCAGGCAGAAAGAACAGTCAAAATGCAGGCAGGGCACAGGACAAAGCACTCGGGACAAAAATGTATGTGAAATGGTTTGATACAGTGATGTTTTACTATGTGATTTTAGTGTATTTAGTGCATGTCACTTTTTGTCATTTTCAAATTTCCCACCAGTTTTTGTCTCCCATACGTCCCGACGCTCACAGGGAACGGAACCCAGATGACAGATGTCGGCATCCGCCGGATTACATTGCCGGGGACACTGCAGGGGGGACATCGCGGGAGCGCAGGACAAGGTAAGTGATCGAGGGGTCCCGGAGCAGCGCCGCATGGTAAGCCCGAGTGTAGCTCGGGGTTACCGCTTGTGGTACTGAAACTTTATCCTGAGCTACACTCGGGAATACCGCCAGGGAGGTTAAAGGCAAACCTTCCAATGAGGGAACCTGTATTGGTGACAACTTTCTAAGAGGTAATTTCCCCCCATATTGAGTAGATTTTTTCTTACTTCATGTTGCATCACCAGCGCAGGAAGTAAAGGGAAATCTCCCCAACAGGACACAGAAAAAAACAAACTTTTAGGGGTTAAAAATCTTCTATACTCTATCCAAAACTAAAAAAGTTTGGGTTATACATAAACTTTAAAGCGTATTTCCATTTTTGCAGTAAAAAAACTATACGTCTGTTGTGTTCACATTCACACAGCGCATCTAAAAAGATGTATATATAATTTCTAACCTTTTAGATAGTGTCATGACTGACTGCAAGGTTTCATCATGTTCAGTGTGATCTGTCCCAAAATAAAGGCTCAAGACAGGCTGAGTCTCCTCATTAGCATGGAATGAAAAATGTCTACCTTCTAAATCTTTAAACCTTTTTTTTAGGACCGACAGTGTTCAAATCTAGATTACCAATGACAATAAAATCTGCCAGCACAATACAGGCATTGTTAATTATGG